ATATATGGGCTCCATTTCAGGACGAAACTCCTCGTCGACCTAACTACAGCAATACTATCCAGTCGATGACACTGATTGAGAACAGTCTCACAAACTTCTCTCTGAACAAGTGAGATAGTAAGATAGCTCTTTGTTCTCTTGAGGGCAGTGGGCACGATCGTTGAGAGCGGAAAGTTGTCGCCAACGTGTTTGGTGGGGTGTGGGTGAGGTGTGACAAGGCGCTCTCTCACAGCCCTTCCACCAGTGACGCTGGCAACAACCGCTCGCTTTCAGCAACCGTGCCCACTGCCTTGCAACAGCTCAAAGTATGAAAAGTGAATGGTTGCAAAAACGAAAAGGATGGGTGTCAAAGTTGTCTTGGCGAAGGGTGTGTAGCTCAACTCTCCTGAATCGCTGCATCGCGCGCAAACTGTAAGAGAATGTTATGCCTGGTTGACTTGTCACAGTGCAGCATATTTACTTTATAAATCAGTTAGTCCTGTTGCAAAGTCGCGCATGTGACACTGTTGCAACGCCTCTATTGCCACTCACGGGTATTTTGGATTAGACCTCTTCTAAGACGGAAAACCCATTACACTATCTCTTGGGATGGACCCGCCATTAAAGTAGGCGCAAGTGCATACCTGTCTCCGCCCATACAGCTAAGTGAAGACTCTCCCCTGAAGGCGAACCTCGTGCCAAGGGTACAATATATGGATAGGTATATGGCGACGTCGCTCGTGATCGGTCACTGAGCGGTTACGCCATCTGTGCGGTTCATTTTCGGCAGCGGGTCACCCTAATCGTGCTCATTACGAGAAATGTGCCCATGCGACGAAAACGCGACGAGGCTATAATCATGGCATCATGAAAGAAATTACGCAATACAGTCTTGTTCGTTGCGGATGATGGGGCGTGTAAAGAAGAGAAGGACTTGGCGGGGCGCTAGCCGTTTTTTTATTCTATACTTTCTCCTTTCGGCAAGTGACTGTTATATCATTCGTGTCTTCGTTTTCTACCAGCTGTTGCCACTTACCCGCTTCTACTACTGTTGGAGAACGAGCTGGCGGGCCGAACCAGCCTCACTGGTGGCTGGGGGTCACTGGGGTACGCCCAGTCATCCACAGCCTACTGTAATTCGCCTATGTTTATCGGCATTTCAAAATATATAAGTATATAAGTGTGCTTTTTCTCCTAACCTTTTTTCTTCTAGCATCAATAACATGTTCAACTGTCGTCATCCAAAGAGCCAAGTATCACCTTATCTTCTTTGGCCGTTTAGGTGAGTACCATCACCCAGTTTTGTTTCTTACGAAACTTACCACTTATTTTCTGGTTGCCATGATTATTATTTCTGTTCTGTAGTTCTTCTGTTTCAGTAACAAAGCAATTATATGCAATTTTTCCGACTGTATGATGTTTTTATTTCTATCCTTACCTGCAGCCTTTGGCAATATAATGGTTTGCCGGCTTTACTGTCCGTGAGTCTATTATGTTTCAATTCTGATTGCAGTCAGACTTGAATTGTTCAAGGAAGTTACTCCAGGTCGAGAACAGAGAAATTCAGAAAAGCAAACGCAAATTAAAATCTATGAATTTTTAACGAAATTTGGGAACCTGAACTCGTCGAGCATGCTGGTGAACTTGCGCCACATTCCGGACCCAGGGCACAGCATCGTGATGTGTGAAACGGTGGTGTGGATACGACCCCCTCTCTCGAGGGGGGGGGAGAGTCTTGGAACGACTCCCCCCACCTAAAATAGGTCCAGGTACGACCCCCTCCCCTTTCCCAACACCTACCTTTCATTTTCCCCCATTTTCCAGTTTTTCACCCAAAGATTTTTCGTCGATGGTTAGTACCCATGAGACAGGAGAAAAATCGCGCGAAAAGCATCAACAAGCACGAAAACTTTTTCTCCAACATGGCAAGTTTCTCTCAAAGCCACATACGACCCCCCCCCCTCTCCCAACAACCATCAAATACGCCCCCCCCCTCCGTCCCAGCAGGAAAGTACGACCAACGATGCTGTACCCTGTCTGGACCGCGTGACAGCCATAGAGTGTCGTGGCTCCTAACTCCTTTCCAAAATTATGATTTTAGGGCATCCTTGTTTGTCTGCATAATATCTCCGCGAGTGTTCAATTCAATAGATGGCTGGCTTGTGCCAGGCTTATTTATCACCAAAATAATAAATCGTGCTGTTCAATAAGCGTGTTTTCCTCTTTTGCGTTTTCCCCTTCATCTTCGAAGTCATCCTCATTGGTTACCATTGGTGGAACGGATCTGACTCTACCCTAAACGGTTACAAAACATCTGTCAACCAGATGCTCTCTCGCTGTGAGGGTCCAGAGGTGTTTTCTCATCGCATCTTCTGTTCGAACATTTAGAGGAAGGAAAACAAGGAAGGAGGATGAGAAAAGGAAGGAAGGAAGAAGGAAAAAGGAAAGAATATGAAGGGCCCGCGGTTGACAGATATCCCGAGACTTAGGCCTCTGAAAATTCTGTTCACAAGTCTGTGATAGAGCCAGTCTCCTCGAAAGTTTACAGCTGCTACCACGAGCCTATAAGTTTCTGAGATGCTATCCCTAGTTTGTCATGACAGTTGCCTTGGGTGTCGTACCTCCACTGTCCATAACAAAATGCTTACTGTAGGACAATGTTCCTTCACTTTTGTAAGACTTATTTAAAGATTTGTGAACATTATGATTTGATTTAGAGATGAAATGCAGCATACAATCGTGATACAGCAGTTCTTCACATTGTTGGTGCTCATTATTCTAACATTGTTCGACCGTATTTGCCCATATGCCCACGTATTGCTAACAAGTGTTTCATTTTTGATCTCGTCTTTCATCGCCATCGGACCACATGTGAGCAGTGATTTTTGAATATTGTTTGAATTAATGATTAGCGGAAGTGATATAGTGGGAGGTGGCACGCCTACCACTGCAGAGCGCGGTGCAGGGGTAAAACCCTGGATTGGCATCCGCCCAGATCAACCAAGTTTCACTACTCTGCCTTAAAGGCACATTCCGCGATAAAATAAGGCTATGACCTCTCAAATGTGTCGGACGATCCGGAAGGCGATTTTTGAGGCTGCGCTACTTTCAAAATGTGAAAAACGGCAAGAACTCCTAGAAGCTGACTAATTAGGCCCATGGACACCCCTTAGGCCCATGCCGACCCTCACCGGCTGCTAGCTACTAGCTAGTAGCCACTATGTTATCTTTCTCTATAACATTTCGGACTGCTTTTTCTGCTGCTTTTCTCCGCTAATCAGATACTTAGCACTTTTTTGTGCCTATTTGAGTTCCGTTTCCCGCAATTTGCGGTCGCGAACTGTGCCTTTAATGCCTTCCAATCTTGCTTTACAGTTCCTCGTGTCGAGCTCCAATTTGGCCCGATTTCCCTCCTTTTTCACATAACGGTTCCACAGTGCGTTCTTTAGGCAGCCAAATAGGCCTAGGCGCAGAGCAGTCGGGGATGAAGGGCACAGGAACCGACGAACAATTTGGTTCCTCCACTTCTGCTCGTCAGACTCCAATGCAAGGGATATCATCATATATTGATTCCAGGGAATTCCCATCCTCTGGTGCGACTCCTCCCAGTCCCCATCCTCCCTAGTCTATCTTTTCCCCACAGTTTTGCTTGCCGTTGGGGAGGGGAAGGGGTGGCGCAGGCAGCACCCATCAACTATTAGAAATACCAGTCATCTGTAAGTACTAGCAGTTCCACGTTAATGGAACGGATGTACAGCGCGCGCAAAACGGAAAGGTCAAGAATCTGAAAGCCACGATTTCCACCTAGGGCTTGGTTAGCCTCATAGCGGTGTTCTGATGTTTCCACAGTGTTTTTTATTCAACTGCAGGTGAAACTTCCCTTTCAGATGATTATTGCCAAATCCAATCTATACGGGGTGAAACCGTTCACTTCGATGGTTTTTATGCCAGGTACGTGATAAAGT